ACCTCGTATAATTGAGAAAATTTTTCACTTGGATCAGTATTATTATTAGTATTACTCATCATGATTGTTATAATATGATAATATAATTAATGCGCATAAATATATAAATTAAGTGAATAAGCAAATTCAATCTGAAAATAATTATAACCACATCGTAACTTCGAAATCACATGACGTTATAATAAGCCTCAGTGGAGCAATATCATGTGTTTTATTTCAAAGAAATGGCTCTTCGGTGTGAGCCGGTTAAATGCTGATCCTAAATCAGTAAGTTATTTACAACAATTAACCAATCAAGATGAGGCAACTGATAATGCATCATTCTATATCTGGGATCATTGCATAATCTATTTCAGGTGTGAAATCTATTTTGGGATGTATTACAAGCATATGATTTAATTTTCCAACATGTGACAGACTTGACACTTGATCATGTGTCCAATAAATAATGCGTAATGATTATCTGAAAAATTTAACTGGAGGCTGGCGAATGCCTAATCACATATATCGCACAAAGTATATAATAATCCAGCCACCAGGACCATTTTTATTGGGATAAATACAAGATATAAAAAATACATATAACGAAGTCTAGTTATCATCTCGTGAAGTTGAAACTGTAGTACTATCTTCCATTTGTCTTTGCGATGTGGAGATAGATGCATAATATATCAGAGATACATTTATAATTAATATATTACATAAACATAAAAGAATTTCTATAAATTTAGCTACGACGTTTGCATCAGATAATTGTACAGAAATTTCAGCAAATTGTAGATGATAATATCGATGTACATTAGCTCTATTTCTGACAAGAACGTTCAGATGTAACATATTTCCCACTACTTGCACTCCAACTATTTCAAATTGATCTTTGTCTGGTTTAAGAACTTTGTGAACAAAATACATATCATTATTTGTCTTGTGCCATAACTTTACCTTATCATCCTCCTTTTTCTGCTGAGTACAATATAATCGTGAACATTCTATGTATAAAAGCTCAAAGAAGATCTCTAAATATTTTAATACAAACATAATATCAGGTCACCTCCCCATCTGTCCTTTACTCTTTCTATCAACGCTAGCAATACTTTGTCATTCTGACATACTGATAAATGAAGACAATCTAAAAGGAGGATTTTTTAATATCACCTGAATTGATAATAAAATGACTGTCGATTGATAGGTGCCTTCATTCAACGATTTTGCAAGTTCAGAACTAAAGATTGGATTATTCCAAATATCTTCGAGAAGGGAAAAAAGTTCTTTTGTGATGTCTGATATTTTCTCCTCAGATTCTTTTCAAGTTCCATTATGGATAAGTTTTTCGGGTGACATATTCTGGTAACTATGACAAATGAAATTTGATACGAATTCCTCACACATTTCTTCGATCTTTGATATAAGAATGAGCTTCATCAGTTAAGCAGGTTTCTATTAGAGCATCGATAGAATATTATAGCTGCATATGTTGTTAAAAAAAAACTAGCAAAGTGATTTCCATATATATTACTATTAACATACCATAAACGCCTTCTTTAGATTTTTCGGCAATTATTCTACGAGTTTAGAATCATCGCTAATAATTTGGCTTGCTAGAGGATCTTTCTAAGTCAATTTTTGAATAGATAAAGTATTCATAGCTGAATATAAATGCTGACCAAGAAGTGTGGTATCTTTTCTGAGTTTCTCCTCCAGCTCAGTTATATTTTTCTCAATTTGATCAGAGCTGAGAGGACTCTCCTTGTTTGTTTTAATTGCTCCCATGTCATATAAGGTGCAAACTCCTTCAAAGGCATTATCAAACTATTATAAAAAATATGCATTAAATTTTCAGAAATATAAAAATTTTCATCATTAAAATAACGTATATTATTAGTACATATGCAAAGTTAACATCTTTGTATGATCATCACGTCGATGAAACTCCGTGTGATACTATAAAGCAACATAATAACTTATGTCTTAAACACCCTCCTGATGAGGCAATAGATTTTTCTCATAATAGGTTGGTAGAATGCTATATCCTGCATAACAGACTATAGTTTAAACATTCCTCCACTACGAGCAAGTGCCTATCAGCAAGCAGACTAGTAGGATGAGTGAATATAAGCAACAACCAAAATAATTGACTATTTATTCAGCACTCATCTTAGTGAGTGGATCACATAATATCATCATTTAATACAGATAATTCTAAAATATAATATATCTAAATAACTAACCTGTGGGGGAATTTGCAGAATTCTTAATTGGTGTGGCGAAGTATCCATGTATACATTGCTAGCGGAAGCTATGGCTCGATCTATGATTGATCTTAATTTGTTTTGTGGAATCCAGCAGTCTTCTTTCATTCCAAGATATATAACAGACGTAGTATTAATTTGGTGTTCTTCGGCAGTTGTTAAAAACTCGTAAATATTATTATACAAATCGGTAGATATGTTTGTATAGTTATTGAAAATGATATTAACTTTGTTATATTGCAAGTAAAAAGAAGCGACGAACAATCACAACGTAAATATACTGTCCTTTAAAATGTTCCCTCCGCTCATTTCTGGTCTCATTTAAATATGAGAATGATAGATTCAGGGAATGTGAAACTGGAGCGATGCAGACCCATGGGTATTTACTATGTAAATATGCACAACAAAAAAACTTTTCACAAAGAAATTGCATATATCACAAGCTAATCAATCAAATTAGAACAATCAGCAGGTTACATAATTACATCATGCATGAAAAGTTCCATGACCTTCGATTTTATTTCATGGTATAGTATGTGGTGTGTTGATCAAACATCTGCTGTATTATGCAATCAATTGCAGGTTACATGATTATTACTTTGTAATAAGCTTCGCTCTACATCATGCATGAAAAGTTTCATGACCTTCAATTTTATTCTATGGTATGTGTATTACGCAATCAATTTTTTCAGACATGTGACTTTTTACGTATGTGTTACCTGTGAAAATCTGATCTGTTAAGCTACCCAATTTTAGGTTTGCTTGGGAATATTTGATTAACATTTATCACGATAATTGTATCTCACGAGACTGTATTATCAAAATTTCTAAGTTTCTGGAAGAAAAAAGCACAATTCATGAAGCAATACATAAATGCTTCCCTTTTTTTGATATATACCAATTCTAATGCATGACATCGAGATGTATTTAAATATACTGATTCAGAAGCTAAATGCCTTATATGCAAAGAAGTACATATTCATTTAGGAATATGAGACAACTGGAACTATCTAGGAAAAAATGATCACTATTTCTTAATTGTCCTTTTCGCATTGATCAAAAGAAAGTTATAATTGCTGTACAAAGTTTGCCCGAAAGTGTGTCAAACAAATCTTGTAACTCTCATGATTTGCTAACTCATCCAAACAATTACAACCACGACTCAATTAATTACACAAAATAACAAATAATTGATAACTTTATTGATAATAATTATATATTTCAACGTTATTTTTTTTACGTTACAATATAGATCCAAAGGGGAATCGGAGATTCGATGCTTTGCATCATCATTGCTCTGCAATAAAGACCAACCTTGTAGAGTGTAGCTCATTTCTTTAAAATAGAATCATTTGTGGAGTAAGGACAAAGAGAGAGGAGCATCTCGAGCCCTAACCCATAAAATGAGAGCTCTTTTCCCTACTCCACATTAGCTATCATGATTTATTTCTTCTTCCTCCTCACTTTTCAGTTCAGTATCTATCACTTCATTCTGTTTCGATACCCATAACTTTAATGTGTCCAATGTCTCTTCTTTCAGATTTTTAGTCATTTTTTTTATGAAAATTCCTAATGGTGACATTACTGATTGCTACCTTTCTCTTATGATTGATAACAAGAGTTCAGATTTCTTCAGCTACCTTGGGGTATAGCCTTGTCATGGACCACTTTTTGACACGCTTTTTCTCATTGAATAATGCATCAATTTCTTTCCACAGTTTGAAAATAGTGCCAGTATAATTTTGAGGCATTTTGAATGTACCAGATCCTGCATTACTACTTCTCGTGACTCCATCTCAAACTTCACGAATATCATAACCAAGATGTTTTACGGTTTCAGATAAACCAGAGATAATTTTTTGTTGTTTTTTGAGTGAGACAGTCATTTTTTCGTCGAATCATTTTTCAGTGTTCCCAGAATTGTATCTGATTATGATATATAGAAATATCATTTGAATCAGCATAAAGCCAGAAACAGTAAAAAATCAGAAGTAATCAAGAATATTCTGATAGATTTGTATGATTTATGATTTGATTTTATTGGATAATAACGAAGCTGATATGATTGAGATTTTTACGATTATGGATTATAGTGCTTGCATTGAAATTACGTGGATTTCGCGTTGTAAAAAGTTATGATATGGATTACTCTGTATCTTAGGACCAGTTCACTGAGAAAACGCACATTTTTATATCTGTAGCTCGTAAAACTATATCTCATAGTAAAGATGATCAATATATCTTAATTCACAAAACAAAGATGAATTAGCTTAGTTTCTTGTGCATCTCATGAGTATACCTTTTCTTAACACAAATTATATTCAGTTTATTCTTTCCGATCATGACATTGGCTCTTTACTGGTGATCAGATTTCGTACTAATTAATTAACAGCGATCACAATATATGATTTACTGATCTACTAGTTATTCTTTATATTAACATTCCATAGTATTGGTTCTTTTGTATTTTCATTAATCAAGATAATAAAATCAGCTATTAATAGCGAGGCTAGTAACAAGACACATATTAACTCTCTAACTCTACTAATTCAGCAATCTGATATGCAGTATTTTGATGCACTTTGTGAGTGATGCATATTCTCGCTAACCAATTATCATCATCAATACAGTTACGCAATTACACATGTTCCATGAATTTCTACGTGGTGTGATTGGTTAATAATTTTTCGACTGTTAACGATTTTTTAATTATTTTGATTGGATGGATCACACCAGAAAAATAGCCAGAGACTAACGAACGCCTAATTATATGCTTGTAATAAATCTGAAATAGATTATGCAACAATTATCCACATGTCAAAAATAGATCATAATATATCCAAAGTATATCACTCGCAAAATATGACAATTATAACACTCTTGAAGAGATGGTTCGAGAATCCAATCACACAAAATTTGAATCATATATTCTAGAGTATATAGTTATTAAATCAAATAGGTCTAAATATCCTAAATACGATATAATCGATAAATATGTCTGGTTTTGATATCACTACAATTATTGATAAAAAAGATAAAACACTTTCTAAACCATATATTAATTGTCCTGGTTTTGATATGAAGTATGCTATGTCATATATATCACATTATAATAGAACTTATGCTAATAAACTCAATCAAATTTTCAATAATGAGAGATTATTTAATACTTTATCTACTATAAAACAGAATGAAATACCTGTTCAATGAGCAATACGAGTAAAAATTCCATTACAAGATTTGTCTCATGGAATGAGGAAGCTACCACATCTAAATTCAAGAAAATTTAGTATATATCATCGATATTATTTATTTATGTCATATAGTAAAGGTAAATTTAATAATTTCCATTATCATAGGCCAAGAATTCATAAAAGTCATATGGCTATTTGCTTCGATTGCTGGAAACTCATAAAAATCGATGATGTGAATTCTAAAAAATTATTCCATTTTACTAGACAGAGGTATATTGATCATCTCGAACCTAAAGATCTGATGCAGGAACATTGGAATCACGAATATAATAAATCAAAGATTGATTTTGAAAAAGCAAGAATTATACAAATAGCTTATCGAAATTATAAGAATAGATCCGAATCATTAGCAACCCAAGCTTGGAATGCAATGAGAGATGATGATACTTCTAATGATAAGAAATTTCTAGGTTTAACGAGACGTAAAGTGAAAAATCCTCAGACTCGAGAACAATTTAATCAATGACATACTAAATGAATGGAATCTTATAAACAATGTAATTTGAGAATTCCTTTGGATATTTATGTTAGAGAACATGAAGAATATTATATTCCAGTTAATTGGATAGATTCTAAAAAGAGTCAATTATAGATTAGATTCCAAAAGTGACTTTTAGAAATAGAAGCATAGTATTTAATCAATTATATAATTTAGTCACATAACCTATTTATTTAAAATAAACCGTCTAAAGTATTCCGGAGGGCTAGTACTTTAGACTTTATTTCATTATTCCCAGGGCTGGTTACATTTTTTACTTTGATTTTTTCATATCAACCTGTTTTATGGGTCACAAAAATCCCTAATATAGATAATAAATCGTGCTTGTTATTATTACACATTTCACATCGGCTGGAGACGATCAGCTTCTTATTGTATTATAAATATGCACGGTTACGTTATAAATCAGAAACAGGTTAATCAGGTGATCGTTGTATATATAGCCCTTACCGCCTTTTTTTGCCATGACTTTGTTACGTGTATTTTTCTCGTTTCAATAAAGGCATCATCAATTTTTTGTTTATAAAATGT